TATGTGTCTCCTGAAGTAGTAAGCCTCAAAAAATAAATGGGACATGCACTGACCACCAGGCAGCTAAGGCAGTTGCTAGAAGTATGCCTAAGGAGAGCAAAAATACGGTCAGTACACAGGACAATGTATTGTGCTTGATGTTTCCAACTAACAAAGTAAACCACTGAAGTACAGAAATGCCTTCTATTCTTTCTCTCCCATGCTGTTCAGGACAGCTACCTTTGGTGGGTGAGTCTCAGGATGTCTGGAAGGGCTAAGAGTCTCTCTTGCTTCTCATTGTCTACAGCCTTGATTATAGGGCACATATTCTCAGCAGACAGACTGAAAAGTCAGTGCTTCCAACTAGAAGGTTTTTGTGGATCATAAAACACTTGCACCCATTCTGCAATAAAGGTCTAAAATAAGATAACGAGCATGAAATAAACAGCAAAATTATATGGTTCCAGCTTCTTTTTTCTTTATATAAGCTGACCATGACCTCTATCTTCTTCATACTTTCTATTTCTATTTCCTGCTCCTGCCACTCAGTCCTATCTCCTAATTAATGTGAGATACCTTCCAGAAATAATAGCTTCATATTCAGCGTAGGAGTGCTGGCTCACCCACCATCGTCCTCATGACAATGACAGAATTAGTCAGTGAATTAGGCCTACAAAGAAGGTCATAAAACAGCTTGTGTATGTATCTAGCACAGCCTGAAGTAAAAACATTTTGTGATCTATAGTCTGGGAGCTGTATGTGTCACAGCAATGACTGTTAAGTAAAGCATTTTTACATAACCACCCTCTGCTCACTGTGAAAAGAATCTTCAAAGGAGATACAGCTAATGTATTAGATTCTTAGGCAAAAGATGGGAATTCAATGAAAGCCTAGAAATACCTGCAACACAGATTTTTCCATACTTTCCTGTGTTTAGAAAGAAAACTTTGGTGACAATACTAAACCAAATGGTAGAAGAAAGAAATTGGAGTAAGGGGCCAGGTTCACACTTCTTTTTCCTAAGGCTCAACACATCTTGGTAAAACGATGATTCCCAACTGTCTTTCTTAAATTGAGAGTCAGCTGAAAGGTAACACTGCTATTCAATGGGAAAAAGAGAAGTTAGACTTCCGTTATTCTGTGTTAGTGGAGTTTTGATTTAGCACAGAAACTAAATACAAAGATATGAGATAGAAAATTGAAGGATTAAAAGCATCCATACAAGTAAGTCACTGCTGCTGGATTATCTGATCAGTGGCAATCTTTTCAGTACTACATGATGAATAACGGTAAGTTTTATAAAAAACATAAATATTATTCTCTGTCCTTTTTTCTTTTTTTTTTCATGTTCTTGATACAATTATACTTACATTTTTATAACTCTTTAAGAGATGAAAAGCATATTTATTTCTAGGAAGAGTAACACAGTGAAAAAAATAAAACTTTTTTTTTTTTTTCTTCCATTGCATATTCAAGTATTTTGTTTCCTACCTTGTATATTATCATTATCAGTCATGTTTAAAAAGGAGACACTTTCACAAAGATGAGTTTAGATGGTATCAATATTCTTGGTACTAAACCCTCCAGTTAAAATCACTACCAATTCATTAAAAATCTATTACATTGCATCAAAAGTGCCAAAAAAAAAAAAAGTTCTACACTGCTACCATGGTTAATTTAAAGTTTTCAAAGTAAACAATCAGTATAAACTGTGTGTAGGACTCAAGTAAGAAGTCTAGAATGCTCTGCACTGAGCACCAGATGGCTATTCCACCATATGTAAACTTAACATTTCAAAGAGTAGTGGGGCAGCTGGAGGTGGAAAAAGATGGGCACACTGAGATTTCTGACTACCCAACCCATGCTGCATTCGGTGGCTGTTTCATTAAGGGGCTGCTGATAAACTGATCGTACACTGTTGGATCTGAATGAAAGGGAGAGTATGAACATCTATCTTTCTCACCAGTCTTACTGTGGGGAGAACAGTATGGGCCATTTCTTTTTTTTTCCAGGGTACAGAGTATTTGAGCGTATTACTTTTAAGTCATGACGGTCATGTTGTGTTAAAACCCTCACTATTGAATGGATATTAAAATCACCGCTTATGCTAGGACATTCTACTTCTAAATTACCTCTGTCTTTGCCACAGTGTTATACAACACCATACTGATGGATTCTACTTCATTGCTCTTTTCTTATTCTAATTCCTGTAGTGCTGTTTCTACACACAATCTTTTTCAACCAAATGTACTAAATATGTCAGGGATTCCAGGAAAAATTTTCTAAAGAAATTTTAACCTTAATAAAATTAGTTCTGTTATACAACAAGCACAGCTGCAGTAATTTGTAGGAAGGTGAAAAGGTGAGACAAATCATATGCATAGTATTGAATTTGTGTCTAAGAAACAAAAGCTTAAATTTGAGAATACCCCGTAAGAAAGATACCAAGGAGTACAACTTCCTAAAGGGGAACACTATACATTTATTCTCTCTCTCTCTTTTTCTTTCCTTTTCATTTTATTATTATTATTTTTTTCTTCCCTGGCACATTAAGAAGTTTGGATAGGAGGAAACACTCCAGGAAACACTGGAGTATTTTTCAGATTTAACTTTCTGAATCTGAATATACCTAAGATGGTGTATATATATATATTTTTTTTTTTCCTCCCCAGAATCCTGTCAGTACAATACCTCTGACTTCAGTGGAGTTAAACTAAAGATGAGGCCCTCAGTTTTACTTTACTGCAGAATCTGTTTAAAGCTTTTCTTTCATGCTATATGTAGGTTAACCCCTAGATGGAGACTTCATTGCAAACACAAGCAGATCTGTCTAGGTGTCTGTTATAATCTGTTTACACTGCTCAGACATGTAACGTTCTCAGCTAACAAACCTTCTGAGGATGGTTTTGATAGACTGAACTTTTGATTCTGAAAGTTGCTTTTAAAATGGTTGTATAATCATTGTAAACTGTATATAACACCTCACAGCTTCCTAATCCTGTTGTTGTTCAGCCTAACATGAAGCCTTGTAAACTACTTAATTCCCTCCATTAAATGTGAGATATCTTCCTTTTTATCAGTTTATACAATTCCTTGAATTGTTACTCCCCCAGTATTATTCTCTTATAATACAGGTCCATCTCTTACTTGTTCTGCTGTAAAGATTCACTGTACTGAAGTCTGAATTTGCTTAAGGTTTGCACTTGTCAAACAAAATTGCAGTTTGCCAATCTGCATACTTAACATAATCAGGTGTGTCTCTGACAGGGGATGCAAAAAGAATCCGGCAATAGCTGGAAAGTGTCTAAATTGTTAATACTGCTGTGTATGTGAAAATGTGCAATTTCTTACTGTGTTTAGATCCTGTGCTGCTCACCTAGTTCATGGATATATTTCAAATAGCGTGGTTAACTAGCTTGCTACAATTTGGTTAACTACCTCGCTACTACTAATGTTGGATGACAGGGGAAAGGCTACTATTGGCAGCTAGGCAAGTACTCCCTTGTGGCTCCTTATTCCAGTTGTAGTACTATCCAAGGTGTGGATCTCATGACCACTTTTTCTACATACATGTAATCACATAGTACTCTTCTTCTAACATGCTCTACTCTGCGCTGGTGCGGCCTCACCTCGAGTACTGTGTGCAGTTCTGGGCACCACAGTATAAAAAGGACATGAAACTGTTGGAGAGTGTCCAGAGGAGGGCTACGAAGATGGTGAGAGGCCTGGAGGGGAAGACGTACGAGGAACGGCTGAGGGTACTGGGCCTGTTCAGCCTGGAGAAGAGGAGGCTGAGGGGAGACCTCATCGCAGTCTACAACTTCCTCGTAAGGGGGTGTCGAGAGGCAGGAGACCTTTTCTCCATTAACACCAGTGACAGGACCCGCGGGAACGGGGTTAAGCTGAGGCAGGGGAAATTTAGGCTTGACATCAGGAGGGGGTTCTTCGTTCTTCACAGAGAGGGTGGTTGCACACTGGAACAGGCTCCCCAGGGAAGTGGTCACTGCACCGAGCCTGTCTGAATTTAAGAAGAGATTGGACTGTGCACTTAGTCACATGGTCTGAACTTTTGGGTAGACCTGTGCGGTGTCAAGAGTTGGACTTGATGATCCTTAAGGGTCCCTTCCAACTCAGGATATTCTATGATTCTATGATTCATGTATCGTGCTTCTTACATTACCACCAGCACCCTGCCCTGTGTTAGGTTAACTTAAGAAAGTTGTAGGACAGTATAGATGGCATGGTTAGTCCTCATTCATTCTGGGGAAAAATACAGCCACTAGAAATATCATATAGGGTATGTGCAGCCTGTGAACTGCTGACTGAAACATAGTAACCTGAAAAATACCCTAATTCTTAGCAGCTTAAAACTGGCAATTATTGTTTCAGTGGAGTTGTGATGATTTGATTTTATGATTTAACAGCCTGGCCTGTATACCACATAGTTAAGGAGCATCTCCAAGAAAGAGAAACAAAACATGGAGAGCAAATCTCAATATATCCTTGAAGTATGTAAAAAGTGTTTATATAAAAACACGTACTAAAAAGGATAAAAATGAGAAGTCAATTCATCAATCCATAGTTGAGTAACACTACATCCTCATATCAGTGTTATCCCAATTCATCTCTATTTTCTCATCGCACTATGAAGTCATAATTACATAAACATATACTTTCTTTTCCAGAGAACCGACATCTTAGTCAATAAAATGTAAGTTATTCATAATTCTTGTAATTCACAAAATGGTCTCTAGTATATAGGTTAATCACAGACCTGTGCTGAGCACAACAGCATTAAATTCCTTGAGACCATTTCCTTCTGATGAAGTTATAGCTCAGTGTTTATAAAGCTTTATTAACTGCTGTTTCACTGCCACCGGCAGTAGTATATTATAGTATGATCCCTCTTTAATGTTGTACGCTGTATTATAACGACAGAAAAGCTAAATTTGCCAGAAGTTTTCAATAATTTTAATTGCCAACTTGAAATATTCAGAATATGAGGTGCTCAAAGCACTTACCTTTTTTATAGCTGTGAGTATATTCAAAGAACAGTTTCCATGATTTCAGTAGCAGCTGTAAGCATTAAACTGCATTTTTGGAAATCCAGCTGTTAGAAAAAATGGAATACATTTAGTTCCATTGAAAACTTTAATTTAAATGTCTAGTTTAATTGATCTTTCCAGCATTTGCAGCACAAAAGTTTTGTGCCAGTATATTGGGTGTCCGCAGTAGTTTTGGTAGCAGGAGGGCTGCAGGGGTCCTATGCCAAACAATGGTATCTCTGAAATGGACTTACTGCAAGATGCAGCTAAGCCCATCAGTGAAGCTGGTTTTGCCTCTGGAATAAGGGCAAAACACTGCACAGGAGTGAGGAAAACACACCGTGAGAAATAACCTTGTGAACAGCAAGACCACAGAAGGAGGGAGAGAAGACACTTGAGATCTGCAGCAGATATTGCCCTACAGTCTGTAGAAGAGGCAGTGGTGGAGCCGGTATCCACGTTGCAGCCCATCGAAGGCCTCACACCGGAGGGAGTGGGTGTTTTCTGAAGGATCTACAGCCCACACTAGAGAAAGTTTATCCTGCAGGACTACAGCCCCTGGAAGGACTCTTGCTGGAGCAGGAGTAAAAGCCTGAGTAGAAGCAATAGCAGAAAGGAACTGTTACAAACTGTCTGCAACTCCACATCCCCATCCTCCTGTGGCACTTGGAGAGGTGGAGAATAGAGAAAGGAATGAAGTTGAACCTGAGAAAAGGGGGTGGTGGGAGAAGAAGGTATTTTGTTTCTGTTTCTGACCATCCAAATCTATTTTAATAGGCAACAAACTGATTTTCTCCAAGTCGAGTCTGCTGGATCCACGTTAACTGTGGTTGTGATCTCCTTTATTTTGATTTGTGAGCTTTGTCATCTTATTTTCTCCCCTGTCATCCTACTGAGGAGGGGGGAGTGAAAGACTCTCTATGTGGGTGTCTAGCAACTGACAGAAGGTTGACCTTGGAATCAACCCATCACAGCCAGAATCAGTACCTAAATCTAATCATCAAGGCAAACTTAAATTGCTTTAACAGATAAAACCAACCTTTTCCTTCCTTCTCTTCCTGCATTCTTCTGTCTCATTCTCTACAAACATGAAGGTATTTAATCTAAGAAGTAACAATTCATTCACTACGCAAAGCTGTCCAGTCTCTGTTCTGAAGGTGGTAGTCATTCAGTAAGAGACACAGTCTGTAAGAAAGAAAATATGAATGTTCGATTATTCATTCTATAGCTTCTGAATACTAACTCACGGTCCTCATAACCCTTCTTTGTCCTCTTTGCCTGAGTCTAGTATAGACCAAAGAAGCAGTTCCACTACAGTAAGTACGTCAATGTCCACTTGGTTACCAGGAGAGTAATTGCTATGAAGACATGTATTAGCATCTGGAGCACAAAGCTAGAGAAACTAAGCTAGAAAACTTCAGTGTACATGACTCCTTTGACAAAGGGTCTCATTCTGGAAGTGGCAGGCAAACTCTAGATGTCACTAATTTCACTGCTGCACAATTCAGTGCACTAAATAAAGAAAAAACAAGTGGTCATTATGCCTATAGCTGTGACACCATAAGAAATGCACTGTTTATTACCCTCTATTCTATAGAGGCTAATGACAGCTGCCTAATGGCAGCTAAAGACTGTAAGAAACAGTGAACTTAGGGGGAATGACTTTTCTGAGCCGTTCTCTTAGGAGTGGTTTGATAACAAATAAAAGACAGATGACCACATCCCACAGGAGCTGCTGCCTAACACAAGTACCACATTCAACAGCACCATCATTATAGCATATAAGCCTTTGTAACTCAGGCTCCACTCCGACAAACAGGATAACACCTCTTAGAAGGTTACGTACTTGGGTAACTACTATGACAGTTTAAGGTAAAAACTAGTGAATTTACAATCAAAGAATCTTTTGTTGAAAATAGTATTTTGACCTTTCCCCACCCCAGCTTTAAACTTATTATAAATTTTTGTCTTGAATGTTTTATTTTAAATTAGTTATGCATTTAAATATATATTTTTTCTTATAAACTGTAAACTTTAGATAAAAAGAAGTGTTTAAAAGAAAAAAAAAATAAATTTGTCCTTATTGTTGTAAGATCGTTGATATAGAGTATTAATGTAAAATAACAGCAGTCTTCCATACTAACGTGCATTGATATTTTGGAAATTATAAATCTAGCATTATAACCACATCAGAAACTAACAGCATGAAAATAGTGTAAAAATATCACTGGAATTTAATGGAATACTAACAAAACAAAACAACAATAACAACAACAAATGGAGTATGTAATTCATATTTTTCCTTTAACAAGTATTAGTACTTATTTCCATGAAAACGTGCCTCTCTTTTTAAATACCCAGTCTCATCTTGATACTATTTTCCTGATCTCTCAACACCTTGGCCCAACAAAAATTTTCAATAATTGTTCTCCTGTAAAAGCGAATACATTTGATATTAATAAAATCTCTTCAATAACTATGTGTACTGCAGGTCCAACCATGTTATGTGAACAGATTTACCTGCTGAGATGACTGCTCATACAGGTCAGCACTTACATGACCTGGCTGGTATGTGTGACACGACTTCTGTAGCTGTAACAGGACCCATATCTGGGCTAAAAGTTTTGGGATTCCATAAACTTCAGAGACATGTAAAAGAGGAAAATGGGTGAAAAGATTCTGATTACAAGAGAAAGTATTTGCACTACTGCTTGGAGTAATACTGGATATATACTTTCACCATCTAGGACAAGTACTTGATATTTCGTGACCCTTAAAGTCATAAAGTAACTTGGCTTGGATTTATGTATTTAGACAGCAGTCCTGTTTTTTCAAATGTAGTAGTTCCATTGGAATTACTGCCAATAAATATAACTTACTGTTCACAAATTTTGTTAGGTACTTTGTTTAAGTGATAGACTGAATGTAAGTTGTCTATTATGATAATTACGTAAAGTGGTGATATATTTAAACTTGAGAAAGGTACTATATATATATATATATATATATATATATATATATATATATATATATGAAAGAGAGTGAGAGAGTTGTACTTGTCATTCTTTCCAGCTAAGGTGGAGGAAAGTAGTATTATTGCCTTGAGATAGCTATTAGAGCCTACTTTGTGGACATGGAACTGAATATTATTTACCATAGGTGGAAAAAAAAAAAAAAATAAATGCTGTCAGTTTCAAGCATCTGACTGTTTACATCATTCAACTGTTTGATGAACACATTTTTATCTTTCCTTCTGGCTATCTTTTAAATCACTGGTCACTCACAAATCTTAACCAACTTAATCCAGACATGAGCATGTCCAGAGATGTTGGTAGGCATATCCAGAATAACAACTCTTCAGACTTAGCACAGAGAATCTATAGCACTTACTATGCCTCCAAAATCAGGCTTAATCTGAGCAGAAAGGAAAAATTGGAGGAACAAAGGGACTAAAAACTGAATTTTTTGACTTAAATATTGAAGTTCTTCCCAAATTTGGAATTTATCCCCTTTGAGAAAAACTGTTACTATAATGGGAGAATGGTAATTGTAAAGATCCTTATAGTAATATTCATTTATAGACCACAGATAATATCTGAATTCTTTAGAATTGGTCAAATACTTTCACGAAGACAAATTATTTTTGTGTGCATTTATGTAATTTGTGTCTGTAATTTTTTATATATATCTTCAAATGTTCTGCTGAGCATGTCTACATTCACAATGAAAACTGCAGAAAAGCATATAAAACCTCACAGTGATAGATACCTGTAAAAGGTAATACTTTCACAGATAGCTCATCGTCATCTGTGAATCACAAACTAAATTTTATGTTGAGCAAAATCTTACATGTTCTAACTCAGTTGTGGAAGATAAGTGAGAAAGAAAAAATGTTTTACCTAAAAAAAAAAAAAAAAAAAAAAGGAATATCCTCTAGCAGTAATTCTACAATTAATCCAAAGCTACTGACCACTGTTACTGACTCCACTGTATTTTGAATTAGAAACTTAATAGGTGTTTTTCTCCCTTGGTGTAAACAGAAACAGAATTTATTTCCTGGTGCTTCCTTTATGCGTCTGTTGTTCTCGAATGAACAATTAAAAATCCAGAAATCCAGACAGCAAAGTAATTAAACTGTCTCAGGAAAAAAAAAAAGAAATAAATAAAAATAAAAAAAAAATAAAATTTGGGAATAAAAAACTAAAATGCTTTTTTGGTGTTTATGTTTGTGTTATACATTCTGAACATGATCTTGGAGTACTTGCCAGTTATCAAATGTAATCCTGGGAGGGTAGATTGGTAAATGATTTCAACTCATTTGCACTTGTTTCAAAGGTGACTCCATCACCACAGTCTGAAAGACGCACTGCCCCTCAGTAACAAATGATTACAGATAAATGAATCCCAGAGGTTTGCTACTAATGCAGAACAAAGGCATAAGAATGAGAGCTGTGGTTCAAGATCTATTTTTTATACTAGCATAATTTTTTGCTTCACTGATCTATCACTAAACAACAGCTGCTAGGGTAGAGACTTACTGCACTGTAGGAATGTTACCAAATCCTTTAGTGACTGGTCACATGTGTTTGCCTCAGGCCTCAAAAAAGTCAGAGACTTGTGAAGAAGGACTGGCAGATCCATGACACCTGATTTCTGTAAAGGACTTCAATGGAATGACAGCCTGCTCTAAGTCTGAATTTCTAATGGAGTTATTTTGTGATTTAAGCATACATGGCTAACCTCTTTTGCAACTTCCGTTGATGGGAGGATGAGAGAGGAAAAGAAAGAAAAATAAAACATTTTTTTTTCTATATATATATAGGAATTAAACTTTCGCTGTATTCATAGTAAACTTTTGGTTGTTTATGTTTATTTATTTTATTATTTTGTTATTTTACTTTCCCCCAAATATCACAAGCCTTTGTTCTATTTCTGGGCACTTGAAAAAGTCTTCCTACCATTTTCTGGGCAAATGCTTTCTGGATATGGTCCTGGGCAAACAGCTGTAGGTGGCACAGCTTCAGCATGGTTCTTGTATGAGATGACATCTGGAAATCCCTACCAACATCAGCCATTATGTGATTCTGTGACTTGTAGAAGACCCAAGTGGCCACTGACACCAGCCCTGCTCTCTTTCGTTTTGGACATGGCTGGGGTGGTCAGACCTCTTGTCTTCTGTGTTTTATCTATCTATTCTGTAGAGAGCACTTGCTGCTGTCCAAAACATATTCAGTCAATGAGTGAAATGCAATATGTAACGTTCTATACGTGCATCTTGCATTGTTTACACTCGGTACCAGGTACCAGTATTGGTTGTCCATCTACATCTGCATAATTTTGGAGAAACTGAAAGATAAAGGGGATCAATCCCATGCATTTCTAAATAATCCAGAAAGATCATTTCCCACTCTTCTCAAAAAATAGCAGGAAAATAGAAACCTAAACAGAGCTATTGAAATATAAAGGACAGTCTGAACCTTGTAGACTTCTCTGCAGAGGTTTAAAAAAAAAAAAAAAAAAAAAAGTTATTTAAGCTTATTTTCATAACTAAAAAACTCTGGTGAAAGATGACTATATTTACAGCAGATTCACATGGCTGCTGGATTAGCTGTTCAGCTTCACTGGCTAGAGGATACTGTCCCTAATTCATATAGACAGTATTAATTATTCTCTTCCAAATCAGCTTCCAGTATGAGACAGTAAAGATCAACAATTGCTTAAAGACTCAGAAGAGAGATGACAGAATACCTGTATGGGAATGTCTGCAAATAAAAGCACTTGGGAATGCTGTAGACTTCATTTCAGGAATATGATATAAGAGTTCCAGAATCAAATAATACACTTGGGAACTACCCACACAAGAAAAGGATTCAATATAATTTTGTCAATTATTTCTAAATGTCAGAAACTGAATATCCTGGTGTCTGTTCTAAATGCAGAAAATATGAGCTGAAAGTACTCCTGCTTTGAAAGCATTCCTTCAAAGCATTTCTCCAAGAAATTTACTTAAATATCAGACCACAGAACTGACCTGAAAAATCAATCTGCAAAACATACAGAAACAAATTGCTGTTATCTAAAAGGAGTACTGCAGATTTGGCAACATTTTTTTTCACTATGGAGAATTGCAAGGAAACAAACCAAGAGATTAAAACAACCAAGTGGGAGAATACATGATTCTGACA